TCTGTACGTGAAGACTGGTTTTATGTTTGTAGGATTACGGGTAGGCTAGGAACATCCTACTAAAATTTCAATTTCCTAGCTCATTTGGTTGTTGATTGAAGAAGACGGTAAAGTCAGACTACGCACACAGCCGGTCACCTTTTGTCAGTACACATCATTGCATTTATCGGTGACACGACCTAGGTAGTAGCACGTACCAGAGTTTTCAGCACGACGTGCTTTTTTGCACTAAACCTGAAGCAGTTTGATTGTTAACAATATGAGTAGTTATTGCTTTACAGCTTAGCATGTGCACTCATTATGACTCTGTCTTATTCCCTCTTTTTTTGTGCAGGAGAAAAATGGTTGGCTGAAACAGCAGAATTGCAACCTTAACCTCGAGTATGCTGATTACAACAAACTTTTTGTATGAAGGAAAATGAAAAATTTGCTATCCATCGGTCGTTCATTAAAAATGCAACTTCAACAACGAGCAAGATGTCGAGAGAAAAGGAAGACGGAACTCGAGCAAAATGTACTCATCTTTAAGGTTGGAATAGAAGCGAGCATCTGACATGTCCATGTGAAGGGAATTTGGCTCCCAGGCTAGATTTAGACCACACGTGAATGTAGAATACCTATGTAAAATTCCAACTGTTTTTCGAAATTGCCACTTCGTTACTAATGTCTCTGGCAGTGCCCTTGCTCATAGCGTAGATGCAATCCAATACTTGGCTTAGGTAGAAGAGCCTACGCACAGGCGGCAAAAAATTCTAGCAAAATTTCAGATATCCTTTTCTTACTAACTGCTGAGTCAGCAAGATATCAACGACAAACTTTGACATGTTCATACACGTAATATAGGCGTAAATTATAGCTGAGTTTGAAATATAATCTCACACTCATACATGCACTGTGAACCTCCCTGTAAACCACTCTGCCTAGCTCTCAAAATCGCTTCCTGCCGAAGAAATTACATGTCTTCTTTTCGGTACCCGCACATACGATCCAAGCGTACGTGTAAACGATGATTGCATGTTATAATAATGATAGGCGGGATGGGAACAAACTCGCAAAAATTTTAGATCCTTGGCTTTTCTGTTTCAAAACTTGAAAGTGGATGACAAAGTACGTATGTATGCACACGCATACATACATACGCAAACACACACAAGCACACACTCACAGGCACACACACACACACATACACACTGACCAGTTGGCAATATGCGTTTTTGCAACCGCATAAGACGCAAAAACGTATAAAAAGTCACGCTTTATGTTTATCGACAACGCAACTACGCTGCTGAATTCGGTTTTAAAATCGCTCAGAAATGAAATACTGAAGTAGAATCGCTCTTTAATCGGCAAAACGGTCAAAGCAGGAAAAAAATGTGTGAGATGGGGACTTACCTGTTTGATATCCTCGTACCGTCCATCGAGTATTTTTATCCACGAATGAACGATGCGCCAGAATATGTAGTTTGCGATGAGGCGGTTCGTGTTGTTGTTGAGGAGTGCTGTGGCACTGATAAGGAAGTCCACTTCCGCAACGATTATTTGCGTATCGTTACTTATCAGATCATGGACTGATGCTGGCGTCACATCGAAAAAAAAGGTAAGCCATTCCACCTGCAACAAACCGCAGTAGCTACCATTGTAGTTGCAGGTTTTTTAAAAAATAACGGATGGCTCCGCTGAGTAGTAAATGACGCCGAATAGAATGATGGCATCCACATGCGTGAATTTTCGTAGAAACGGTAAACTGGGAACCCGGGGAAGTTGTTGAAAATGCGCTGTCGAGA